CGCTGCTTAGGAGTGCGAGCGATGGGAGTCAGTGCTCCTCCCCCGGCCTGAGATGTAGCTGCAACAAGGGGAAGCAACCCTGCTTAAGCCAGAGTGGTATACATGCTCATGAACTGTGCAAGAGTCTCTTGAAGAGCTGGAGTAGTAGTAGCAGTAGGCGTATCAAGTGCCTGGACTCCGGTTGGAACTGTTGGTGGCACCTCGGTGGCAGCTTGCGTGGGTGCTCTGGCTGCACCACGAGCGTGTCCTCGGCCTCTACCCCGGCCCCGACCTCCGACGGCTCCTGTAGGGGGCGCGGGTGCCTGATCATCTCTGGTAGCATGTGTCCTCACCATCTGTGAGAGAATAGAAGACAGAAGTTTAGAATTATGATATCAAAAATCTCGCACGACAAGGACACCAAATGAAGTGGAATTTTTCTAACAGTTACATAGTCTCTTATAGATAAGTACGGATGTCTCCATACCGATCCTCGAAACTCTAATAAATCGGTTTGTGATTCATGACTCCTATGAACCTAGAGCTCTAATACCAACTTATCACGACCCAAGTTCGTCCTTCGTAAACTGTTGTGACGGCACCTACTCTCTACAACTAGATAAGCCTAACAATTGCAGAAAAAAGGAAAAACAACAGATAAAACAAATAAAAACTGTGAAATTAACATAGTGAAGGTTTAAAGATGCCACTCGGCATATACAATATAGTCTCTCAAACTGAACAACTTTCCAAAATTTGGAATCTCATGCAATCACAAGCTGTTGAATAACTACAAGTGTCTAACTCCAGAATGTCTAAACAAAACTAAATACATAAGGGCTAATACTATGAGAGAGAATGGAAATGGACTCCTCGGTTTGCGGACGCGACAGATATACCTCGAAATCTCTGGAGAATCACCTCGCCTCAAAGGTAGTAGGACTGAGTCGAATACCTAGATTTGCACATGAAAAACATGCGTAGAAAGGGCATGAGTACACCACAGCGGTACTCAGTAAGTGTCAAGTCTAACCACGGTAGAGTAGTGATGAGAAAGGACAGGGCCATACTGATTATAGCTGAAAAATGAAATAAAACAGTATAGAATATGTCAATATAATTAAATGCTAACAGTATGAAGAAACACAGGATAATAAGAATAACAACGACTATAATAGAGACAAAGTAATCACAGAAGGAATACAGCTCAACACTGAGATAACAACCGGGGATCTCTCAGTACCCCGAGGATCTCTTAGTATCCTCAATATGTGTGATGGGATCTCTCGGTATCTCGAGAATCTCTTAGTATCCTCAATATGTGTGATGGGATCTCTCGGTATCTCGAGAATCTCTTAGTATCCTCAATATATGTGCTGGGATCTCTCGGTATCCCGAGGATCTCTTAGTATCCTCAATATACGTGATGAGGATCTCTCGGTATCCCGCACTACAGTCCAAATCAATATATATGTGTAGGGGATCTCCTAGAATACAAATCTGTAGTCCCAAAGTAAACAGGCAAGGGGATCTCCCGGGATACTGTCCCGTAGTCCCAAAGTAAACACACAGTAGCAACACGAAGAATACTTAATTCAATTCAAATTTGATACGAAGGTAAAACATGTATTTCTAACCTAACATGCTTCACATAATCCAAATAAGACAGTTTGAGAAAGTAAAGCAATTAAGGCAATTAGACATACTTTCCTAAGCTAACAACGGGTTTAAATTGCAAGTAGTATAAACAGGAAAGGAAACACAATTATAGTTACTTAATGAAAACAGGATTTTCAACAATTAGCACAAGTACGTACTCGTCACGTCATGTACAAGGCATTTCAAATATCAACAATACCAAATCCTAAGGGGAGTTCCCCCATACAAGGTTAGGCAAGTCACTTACCTCGAACCGACTCAAAAACCAACCCGAAATCACGCTCTTGCCACGAGTACTCGAATCCAAATGGCTCAATCTATTCAAATCAATTGCATAATGTAAATATAACTTCAAGTAACTGATTCCACTAATTAATTCTAAGCTAATACGCGAAATTAGGAAAAATGACCAAAATGCCCCCCCGGACCCACATCTCGAAATCGGGTAAAAGTTACGGATTATGAACCTCCATTCACTCACGAGTTTAACCATATCAAAATTATCCAAATCCGACGTCAAATCCCCAATCAAAACTCAAAAATTAGGTCTAAGAACTTTTCCAAATTTTCCCCAATTTCTCACCCCAAATCCGAAATTAGATGATGAATTCATGTGTTAGATTAGTGGGTTATAAGTAAAAAGGAGTTAAGAATCATTACCCGCAAACTCCCTCCGACAATCTCTCCAAAATTCATCTCCTACCGAGCTCCCAATTCAATTTTGTGATATAAACTCAAAACCCTCGATTTTGAACTTTATGTTCTGCCCAGACGCGACCTTAATCGCGATCGCGGAAACTCCCATGCGATCGCGAAGAGCAACTTGCAAATCCTCAGCTGTTTCACTCCTTCCTCTTCGCGAACGCGGCGTAGCCCACGCGTTCGCAATTCAACTCCTGCTATTATTATGCATTCGCACTCCCCTTCCCACGATCACGTAGAACAAAATTCACTCTGCCTAATTCAAGCCATCGCGATCGCGAGCCTCCTCACACGATCGCGATGAAGAAAAGTCTGCAACAAAAACCAGCAAAAATCTGATCCTTCTCCAAGTCCAAAAATGGTCCGTTGAGTATCTGAAACACACCTGAGGCCCCCGGGACCTCAACCAAACATGCCAATCACTCCTAAAATATCATTCAAACTTGTTCCAACCTTCGGAATGCTCAAAACAACATCAAAACACCTATTTAATATCAGATTCAAGCCTAAGAACTCCAAAAACTCTCAAATTACGCTTTCAATCAAAAAGTCTATCAAACCTCGTCCGAATGACCTGAAATTTTTGCAAGCACATCACATTCAACACTACGGAGCTACGCCAGCTTCCAGAATTCCATCCCGACCCCGATATCAAAATCTCACTATCGAACCGGAAACTTCAAAAATTCAACTTTCGGCATTTCAAGCCTAAATAAGCTACAAACTTCCAAAATACAATCCGAACACGCCCCTAAGACCGAAATCATCCAACGGAGCTAACGGAACTGACAGAATTCCATTCCGAGGTCGTCTTCATATTGCTCCGACTACGGTCCAAATTCTAAAGCTTAAGCTCTCTTTTAGGGACTAAGTGTCTCAAAACACTCCGAAAACTCAAAACCAAACATCCCGGCAAATCAAAATAGCAGAAACAAACACGGAGAAAGCAGTTAATAAGGGATCAGGACGTTAATTCTTAAAACAACCGGTCGGGTCGTTATAGAGGCCTTGGTCTAAATAATCCTAACTCTAAAAACACTGCTTTGTTGAGTGGATTAACTTGGTGAATTCTTTCTAATCCAACCACTCCTTGGGCAAACATATTAATTAATAAATATAGTTCCAAAAGATCAAAGAACCATTCATTCATTTGGAAGGGCATCCTAAAAGGATGGACCATCTGTTCTAAAGCCATTCTATGGCAACCTAGCCACAATTCCACTCTCAATATATGGGACACCCGTTGGATTCCAAATTACCTATTGTTAAGAAACTGCATTGAGGGACCCCTCCAAGAACATGAGAGCAATCTTCAAATAAGAAATATCTACCACAATGGAAATTGGTCATTCTTAAAAATTTCCTTCCGAATGCCTTCTAAAGTGGTAAACAATATTAAAAGCATTCCACAACCCCTTAACTATGGAAACTATGACAAGCATCTATGGAGCCTTAATAACAATGGCCAATTCACCACCAAAAGTTGCTATCAATTAGTCAACAACACTAACCCAGCAACACATGATTTCAGCTAGATATGGAAGTTACATTGCCCGAACAAAATAAAATTCTTCCTTTGGCAATGCCTCCACGATAGAATTCCTACTCGTCAGTATCTTCATCATATTGATATTAATATTGATCCTCAATGCACTATATGCCGAACAAACGAAGAAGGTATTATACATCTTCCTGTTGTGCCGTAAAGTTGAGAACATTTGGAGATCCTAAAAGATTTGAACACAATAACCATCTCATCAACTATGGAATGGGGTACTCTACTTCCCTTCCTTATATGGGAAATCTGGACTAACAGGAACAAGAATAATTTCAACAACACAAACTCCCCCNCCAACTCAAACAAAAATGATTGTTAATATAAGTTGGCATAAACCCCAACAACATTGGTATAAACTAAACACTGATGGTGCATACAAAGTTGATGCACAAATATCAGGTGTAGGAGGTGTGATCAGAAATCACATGGGTATGTGGATCCTTGGCTTCCAAATGCAAAGCACAACTATTTCTCCTCTTCATACATAGCTACAAGCAATTTGCGAAGGCCTACAAATTGCAAAGAAATACAAGCTCTTTCCGCTTGAAGTGGAGACCGACTCAACTGAAGCAATCAAGGCAAGACAGCAGGACCATTTAGTCTGTTCTAATCTTGTTTTTTCTTGCAGATCATTAATGCACCACCAGAAGGACCTCCTACTACAATATAATTTCCGGGAAGGCAACCAAGTGGCGTATATCCTTGCAAAAGACGCCACAAAGGGAAACTACAAACAGCTCTCCCCTCAGTATCCAAAACTCCATGCAACACCTCCTCCTTTTGTGAAGAAACAACTGACTTTGGAAGAAAATGAAGCTTGTCCTTTTGTAAAAACTTTATCTAGTGATGCTTGTAATAGGCTAAGAACCTTAGGCAATCAATCTATTGCATGTGATAATCCACCAATGTGGTAATTTTCCTACTATCCGTAACCAACTGAAGGTTATCTATTTTTTATAATATATCTGCCATTATTATAAATAAAAAAAAAACAGGTGGTATAAAAAAATTTACAAATTCCGTGTAAAATTAATTTTCTTTTCTTTTATTTCTAAAGAGTGAAAATGCTTCAAAACCCCCAAAGCCCATAGGAGTGCCTATAGAAATTGAGCTAATACTATAAACCTTATCGTCTACTCTATCTAATCCCCCCCTCTCTGCACCAAAACCCCTCTTTGTTCTCTCCACAGAGAACTTCCCCTATCTCATACTATCCAATTTTACTTCATCCCAATTCAATTGAGAAGCGAGGAGTTGTTGACGGCATGGATTTCAAAGTAGAAGCGACGTCGTTTCCACCTGTAGTCTCTTCTCCTTCTCCAGGTTCTTCTCCTATCAACAATTCATCTTCTTCTCTCGATTCCCAAATGCAAAATAACGTTGCAAACACTGCTACCGAAATTAATAACAATAATAATAGTTATAATAGTAACTGCGTTAGTGATGATGGAACACTTGTGAGTGGTGGTCAGCGAGAAAAGATTGTTACGGGCTCTGAAAGGCCCCTTCTTGCTGACCCAGATGAGAAAACCGTAGAAAAATCCATTGGTGAAGAGCAGCCCAATGATTCTGCGGAAATTTCGATGCTGAAGTCAGTGAAGCCTGTTTCTGAGGTTTCTATGATTGATGGTGTCGAAAAAGTTGAGGTTTTGGGGGGAGAAAAGGGTGAAGGGATTACGTTGAGTGAGGATTCTGGCGGAGTTGGTGGTTCTGTTTCTGAGGGAAATACTGAAGAATTAAACTCAGTTGATGAGTCTAATTCGATTGAGCAGGTGAAAGAGAGTGGTGGTGAGATTGCTGTAGGTACAGAATTGAAAAAGGGTGTGGATGGGTCCACCCAGGAGGAGGTGAAGGAAATTGAGGAGAATGAAAAGGATGAAGCTTTAACTAGTGTTGCTTCATCTAATCTGAAAGGGGCTGTGGAACCTGATAAGACGGTGATTGAAGAGAGTGCTACTCATAGTGATGATGCCGAAAAACCCAATAAGGCGGTTGTTGAACCGTCGGAGTCTTTGTTGGTTGAAGCGAACCGTGAGAAGTTTACGCTTGAAGGAGATGCGGTTGTGGATGCTATTGATGTTAATGTCAATGTGTCAGCGCCAGGGGTTGCTGTTGGTGGAGATGTGGAAGAGAGTGCTATTCCTAGTGATGATGCCGAAAAACCCAATGAGGAGGTTGTTGAACCGTCGGAGTCTTTGTTGGTTGGAGCAGAAGGTGAGATTACTCCAGAAGGAGATGCAGTAGTGGATGCTATTGATGTCAATGTCAATGTGTCAGCGCCAGGGGTTGTTGTTGTTGGAGATGTGGAAGAGAGTGAAGTGAATGTATCAGCGCTAGGGGTCCCTGTCGTTGGAGATGTGGAAGGGAGTGTAGTGAATGTGTCAGCACCAGGAGTTGCTGTTGTTGGAGATGTGGAAGAGAGCAAGGAAGTGGAACAACATGTTGAAAGTCCTGCTGATGTGTCAGAGTCTTTGTTGATTGAAGCAGATGGTGAGAAATTTACTTCAGATGGAGATGCAGTTGTGGATGCTATTGATGTCAACGTCTCAGGGACAGGGGTTGCTGTTGTTGGAGATGTGGATGAGAACAAGGAAGTGAAAGAACATGTAGAAAGTACTGCTGATGAGAATGTGACATCAGTAAATGGTGTTGGTGAGACCAGACAACTTATTGAAGAAGTGGCTAATATGACAGTTGATGAAGTAGATGTTCAGAAGTCTAAGCCTGCAGTGGATGATAATGTTGCAGCTGCAGAATCCAAGCCTGTGGATATCATTGTTGGTGCTGGAAGTGATGAAAAACTAGATGCTGGAGACGTTCAGACTGGTGATGCGGTAGCTGCTACCGAGGAAATCAAAGAAGCAGATCCTGAAAGTGGTAATATAAGTCCGGACGTGAAGGATGTCGAAAAGGAACCTGAGCAGGCAGTGTCTGAAACTATTTATGCCAACGGTGACCATTCCGAAGGAAGCATTGAGGGAGATGTAGTGGAAGCTGAAGTCTCAGGTCAGTCATCTGCCATATCAAGGTCAATCAGTGGCTCACAGCAAATACTGGAAGCAGATGGAGAAGCTAAAGATCAAATAGATGAAGAAGCTGAGCTTGAAGGCTCAATTTCAGATGGAGAGACAGACGGTATGATCTTTGGAAGCTCTGAAGCTGCCAGACAGTTTATTGAAGAGCTGGAAAGGGAATCCGGTGGTGATTCCTATACTGGTGCTGAGGCTTCACATGATCATTCACAGGAAATTGATGGTCAGATCGTCACCGACTCAGATGAGGAGGCTGATACTGATGAAGAAGGAGATGGGAAGGAGTTGTTCGATTCAGCTGCCTTAGCTGCCCTTTTAAAAGCAGCAACAGGTGCTGATTCTGATGGTGGAAACATCACAATCACATCTCAAGATGGGTCAAGGCTATTCTCTGTTGAACGTCCTGCTGGTCTTGGGTCATCACTGCGGTCGCTGAGGCCAGCTCCCCAACCAAATCGCCCCAATCTTTTTACTCCTTCCAGTCTTCAGAATAGTGGAGAATCTGAGAATAACTTGAGTGAAGAAGAAAAGAAGAAACTGGAGAAATTACAGCAGATTAGGGTCAAGTTTTTGAGGCTTATTCACAGGTTAGGGTTTTCTTCTGATGAGTCCATAGCTGCTCAAGTATTGTACCGGCTGGCACTTATTGCACGAAGGCAAAACAGTCCACTTTTTAGCCTGGAGGCTGCCAAGATGAGAGCTCTCCAGCTTGAAGCAGAGGGGGAAGATGATTTGGACTTCTCTGTTAATATCCAGGTTATTGGAAAATCAGGAGTGGGTAAGAGCGCTACCATAAATTCGATCTTCGGAGAGGAAAAAACTCCAATTAATGCATTTGGGCCAGCTACCACCAGTGTGAAAGAGATTAGTGGTGTTGTAGAGGGTGTTAAGATTCGGGTATTTGATACACCCGGTCTCAAGTCCTCTGTGATGGAACAGGGTTTCAACCGCAGTGTCTTGTCTTCAGCAAAGAAGTTTACTAAGAAGAACCCCCCTGATATTTTCCTTTACGTTGATCGGCTAGATGCCCAAACTAGAGATCTCAATGATCTTCCTATGCTGAAGACTATCACAAGTTGTCTTGGCCCTTCAATATGGAGAAGTGCCATAGTCACTCTCACACATGGAGCTTCTGCACCTCCAGATGGGCCTTCTGGCTCCCCTTTAAGTTATGAGGTGTTTGTTACTCAAAGGTCTCATGTTGTTCAGCAGTCTATTGGTCAAGCAGTAGGCGATTTACGAATGATGAGTCCAAGTTTGATGAACCCTGTTTCTCTGGTAGAGAATCATCCATCTTGTAGGAAGAATAGGGAAGGGCAGAAGATACTACCTAATGGCCAGAGCTGGAGGCCTCAATTACTGTTATTATGCTACTCAATGAAGATCTTGTCTGAAGCAAGTGCACTCTCAAAGCCTGAAGATCCATTCGATCACCGTAAGCTCTTTGGTTTCCGCACACGCTCACCACCTCTTCCCTACATGCTGTCCTCAATGCTGCAGTCACGTGCGCATCCCAAGCTTCCCGCTGAGCAGGGTGGTGATAATGGTGATTCAGACATTGACTTGGATGATTTGTCAGAGTCTGACCAAGAAGAAGAAGACGAGTACGACCAGCTTCCTCCCTTTAAGCCTCTTCGGAAGGCTCAACTCGCTAAGCTCAGCAAAGAACAGAGGAAGGCATATTTTGAGGAGTACGACTATCGGGTCAAGCTCCTTCAGAAGAAGCAGTGGAGGGAAGAGTTGAGAAGAATGAGAGAAATGAAAAATAACAAGGGAAAAGAGGCAGCAATTGAGTATGGTTATGCAGAGGAAGATGCTGATACAGGGGCAGCAGCTCCTGTAGCAGTTCCCCTACCCGACATGGTCCTCCCACCTTCTTTTGATAGTGATAATCCTGCCTACAGGTACCGGTTTTTGGAGCCCACTTCTCAGTTTCTTGCAAGGCCTGTTCTGGACACGCATGGTTGGGATCATGATTGTGGCTATGATGGTGTTAACGTGGAACAGAGTTTAGCCATTGCAAGTCGTTTCCCTGCTGCAGTTACTGTCCAAATCACCAAAGATAAGAAAGATTTCAGTATCAATTTGGACTCTTCTATTTCTGCTAAGCATGGAGATAATGGATCCACCATGGCTGGCTTTGATATTCAAAGCATAGGAAAGCAACTTGCATATATTGTCAGGGGAGAAACCAAATTCAAAATCTTGAAGAAGAACAAGACTGCTGGTGGAATTTCTGTCACATTTCTAGGTGAAAATGTGGTTACCGGGCTTAAAGTTGAAGATCAGATCACCTTAGGCAAGCAATACGTTCTAGTTGGCAGCACTGGCACTGTTCGATCTCAGAGTGACACAGCTTATGGTGCCAACTTTGAACTGCAGAGAAGGGAGGCAGATTTTCCAATTGGTCAGGTGCAATCCACATTGTCTATGTCTGTCATAAAGTGGAGAGGTGATTTGGCTCTAGGATTCAACAGTATGGCGCAATTCGCGGTTGGGCGTAATTCTAAGGTAGCTGTTCGAGCAGGAATCAATAACAAGCTCAGTGGGCAAATAACTGTGAGGACAAGCAGTTCAGACCACCTCTCTCTTGCACTTTCTGCTATAATTCCAACTGCAATTGGCATCTACAGGAAACTTTGGCCTGATTCTGGCGAGAAGTACTCGATCTACTAAATTTCATTTTCATTTCAGCATTTTTGGTTAATTGAACTTTGTAATGGCGTATTATCTTGTCATTCTATTGAATAATGCTTCTGTCATTTATCCATTCATGTAGGATTCCTACTCGTATCAGTTTTGCGTGATTAAATGTGCTCTTTTACAAGATGAAATCAAGAGGTTCGTGTTGCTTAAATGCTCTTTGTTAGTTGTGTTACCTTTTGTTTTGAAGAAAGCAATTTAAGTAGTTGTGTTACCTTCTTTTTTCGTTTACTGATACGAGTTTATTCTGCTTTCAAATGTTGTCATTTAATTTGCTTTTATTCAACAACGTCCTAGAAAGAGGGTCCCAAAGGACATGACAAAGAGCATCCTTGATTCTTTTGATATTTATAAGATGTTAATTGGTCAAAGTGACACTTTTTGAGTGGTCATGTTACAAGGTCCAATATTTCAGGATAACTTGGTTAGGTCTTCGAGCCTTGTATATTTGTGACTTATTCTGGGTAACAGTGAGGGAGGGAGACATTTTAGATGCATTTTGTTACAGAAGGCTTTTTTTAAATTTTTTCCAAAACCGAGTTTGCAAATTCAAGCAGCACTGTTTTCCATTTTCTCACATTACAAGCAGCACTGTTTTCTATTTTCTTTTTACTTTTTAATTACTACTTTAGGGTAGGGGGGAAAGGGATGTTACCTTTACCGATGGGTTTTGAACCCTTCACCTCAATGGGATGAAGTACACAAATAACCCTAAAAGTAGATGATCTTGAATTTTTGTTTCCGCTTGCTCAATTGGTAGAACTTCAAGTTTAACAAGTGTTGTCTCTCGCTTGCCCCATGAGCAACACTTTTAACTTTTGAGCTTGAAGTGAATCAAAATCGGGTTTCTACTTGGCGAAGCTAAGATTAATTGAGAAATATTATTGTTCGAAACTTAAAAAAGCCGTCTCTGTTCTTTCAGGATTAAGTAATGACTAATAAATGAATCTCGGCCTAACTCAACTCTAAAAGCTAGTTCATGATACGAGGATTGCCCAAGTCCCTCATTCCTTAGCCAATGTTGAAGCATGAGTAATATAATATGAGGTCCAACAATGGTACAAAGAATCCGACTCTAATACCATGACAAGGAAATGAACCATAGAATTCTTTGAGCCATAAAAGGAGACCAAATTCCCCATTCCTTAGCCGATGTGAGAGACCCAACAAATATTCCAATAGTACCTAATTGTCAAACCTTCTCTGTTTTTGGAACAAGTGATGATAATCACTGAACGAAATCTAAATTCCCACTAATGCTAAAACTTAAAAACAATATGTTACGAGAAGGCAAAAATCCCAGTGACGAAGCTTCTTGACGTTCTAGGACGCTCACGAGACTAATATGTCCCATGTTCAACCAGTGGCGCTTTGTTCCTTGGAATGTTTGCTAGATAAACTCTAAAACCTCTAAATTCTTATATTTTGTTCAAGTATTAGATTAAAACTTGATATAATATGGTTTTGTTCCATAATCTAAAATATGGTGATTTAGAATATTATTGAACATGTACTTTGTTAAATTCCAGAGCGTAAATTTGTTGGAGCTCGCCCATTCCTCCTAGCTAACGTCTCACCCCATGATAAGTAAAACGCTCTGTCCTGCACCCATCCTTTTAAACACTGCTTAAGACCCTAAAACAGACGAAATAACCAGTTACTCAGTGGAATTTCAGAAGCAAGAAATATGAGCAACTAATACAGTATATGAAGGAATTAAACAAATGGCTTAAAGATAACAATTACTACTTTTTTTCACTACAGATAATAATGTAGGTAACAAACAAGGCCAAAGTTATTAACCCAGCGGTCCATTAAAGCCCAACGGGCCATCCTCCAGTCCACCCGTACTGACATACTGAAAACAATTAAAGAAACGCAAAAATGGTCATTGCGCCAAGGTAACAGAGCCGTCATTAATGGAAACGGAATGCCCGTTCTCCGCGGCAGCGCCGCCTTCGAACACCTTCGCGATCCTCTCCAGAGGAATAATCGGAAAATAATACGCCGCCGCGTAGCCTCTCTCCGACGCATACGCTACAGCTTGATTGTATTTCTCGCTCCAATAAGCAGCTGTCGGCACCAAAATCTGAGCCACTTGAGGGAACAGCGGAAGCCTGTTCAAAGACCGCCAAGCCGAAACCGCATTCTTCTCTGCTAGTGGCTCGTACTTTTCGTATAACTCTTTGGCTGTAGGTTCGTACTTTTTGTAAAGCGCTTTGGCTACGCTGCTCGCCGTGTCAACCAAGCCATCACGCTGTACCTCGCCGGCGAGATCTCGAGCTAATTCAGGAGCCTTCTGAGCCAGCAACAGAGCTTGGCATGACGTCTGCTTCAGTAAATAAGGTACATGGCGATCTACTTCGTTCATCAAATCTTCAACCTGCATATTTCGTCACTCGCTGATCAGATAACAATCCGTTTAAAATATTTGATACTTTTAGGCGGAATTTGTTTGTGGATTCACAGATTCGAGCTTCCAAGTTAACATTTCATATAAAATTGAAAGCAAAGTTCGAAATCAAAACTTAAAAGACAAAATTCAAGTCGAAGTTGTGATTTGAAGCTATATTTCAACTATTCAACTCCCACTCCCAAAATTTTCTATCTTCCACAATTTTTTTTGAACTTCAACTTCTAATACAAGTCTGAACATTGAGAATTTTCCAGATTCAAACAATGTTTTTTTAATATTTTAATAAGACAAAAGCGCAAATTATACTAGTATTTTTCCTTAAGTTCTAAATATATTTGTCTAAAATTTAATTTGAAAAATGAATCAATTTAGTCCAATTTAATTTTGAAAATCAATTAATTTTTCACTTTATAATGAAAAAGTGCCAAATGAATTGAAACAAGAAAAAAAAAAATACTTTGTACACGCTGCCCATACGCACCCTATTCAATTTGCCCATACGCATCCTATTCAATTTGCCCATACGTACCCATACTTTGTACAACCTGACCATACTTTCACTTTATAATGAAAAAGTGTCAAATGAGTATTTATATTTTAAGAATATGAAACCTTGAAGTCGACGAACTTGAGGAGATCGAAAGGCACGTCGTGGAATTTTTCGTAAATGGGTCCGATGACGGTTTTAACAGTGGTTTCTACAGCTTCGACACCAGGTTTCAGTGGCCCGGAGTTTCCTTTAGCGTATTCGTACAAAGTGGAGAAGCAAACTATCACATAGATCGCTGTAACTTGAACGAAATCCAGATATTTGAGTTTCCTCTCATCCTCTGCAACCTTCAATTATAAACAATTAGACACAAAGTTAAATTTCTGAATCTCAGCATATGGTTTGCGATTGACATGTGAAAACACAGCTACATTTAAGAATGAACGTACCGGGAAAAAGGAAAAGGCAACTGAGTATACTACTCTACTTATGCGACATGCATAAATTAATCTGTTAGAGAAACCTTTGTTCATAAGGATTCATTTAGGATGTGTTAAGAAAGTAAAATTTGGGCCAATTCAATTTCAAAAGCTTACTCATGAGATAAAAATTGTCAGGTCCGTTTAAGAAGGCAATAATGCATTTCCTCAATTACTAGTATGAGATAATTTAACACATCTAGCACGTTTAGATCTGAACGTATAAGGTGTGGACAACATAACATGAGGCTTTGAGATTTCAATAAATTTGACTCTAGCACAAAATGAACATTGGCCTGACTTAATCCCAATTTTTCAAAAGTTATCTCGTGAGTCGAAAATTGTTGAAAACTATATAAGAAGATAACAAATCAATCACTAAATGTAAGACAATAAAAAATAGTGGTGGTCGTATGCAAGTACTGCCTAAATAAATACAAATTAGAGAAAATACGAAAGTACGAAACTATAAGTTTGTTATGGCGTTGGGGAGAGTAGACGAAAAAGGCATGGTGTACTTACTGCATCAGTAGGTGGCTTGGCTGCTGCGTCGGCCATGGTGCAGAAAATGGGATGGAGAAAACTTGCCCCTATTTTTGGAGTTGCACAAGACAAGGAAGCTTCGAAAAGAGAGGTTGTTACCAAGTCCTTTTTATAGCCGGCAAGCCCGGGACATGATCGTGTGCGGAGAACTCGATGAATAATTACCGTATGAAAACATCCTACCTTTGAGGAAGGTTACTCTTCAGTAAGTACGTTATTCTCACGTGATTGGCTAGCTGTTCCCACATCTTGACAGAGTCACGCATATTCCCCTTGATTACTTAAAATCTTTGTTTACCAATTGATATATTTAAATTTATCTGGATCTGATTCGGTGTACTACTGTCTTTTAGCAAGATTCAGTTTAGCTTCTCTAGACTTGAAATTGAATCCATTTGCTATTATTCTTTTCCTAAATTCCATTTACCCTAATGATTTCACGAGTTGAAATGGATATGCAACTGAATGTCTGTAGCATGTTGCCATTTGTATCCGAGTTCGTCTCATTTAGTTTAATGTTTTTCTTTTGGTAAGAAAATGTAGACATGATACCCCCAAAAACAACAAGACTAACGCGAGACTCCTATAGAAGTATGAAAAACCAGGAACCTAAGCCATTCATTAGGAATTTAGGGCTGCAAGAATAATAGCCCGTTTGGACAAGCTTTAAAAATCAGTATTCTTTTTTCAAAAGTACTTAGTACTTTTGGTGAGAAGCAGTTTGTGCTTGATAATTAATTTGAAAAGCACTTCTGAGCAGCAATTAGTATTTGGCCAAGCTTTTAAAAACTTCTTCTAAGTGTATTTTTCTCAAAAGTACTTTTCAAAAAAGTGTTTTTTGAAGATAAACTACTTTTTCTAATTCTCCAAAACTACTTCTGCTTCTTCTCAAAAGTATTTTTTTTTCTTCCAAAAATTTGGCCAAACACTTCAACTTTGAAAAAAAAAGTACCGTTTCTAGAATTGAAAAAGATTGGCCAAATAGGCTATAAGTGAACTGAGACATAAAATTTATTCAGAAGTTTGCTTCTTGATGAAAACGAGAGACCAAAATTTGATCGAAGAAACTCATGGCTTGAGCAATAGTGCTGATGAGACCCGCAAGAGCACAATTCTGCTTAATCATGTCAAAGCCACTTTATTGTCACATTCTACCCGCAAGTGTTTGATACCCGTAGATAAAACCAAATTGATACTATGGTAATTGCTAACACATACAAATTTCA